GGCTCGCCTCTCCCAGAGGTGACCTAAGTTCACATCCCAAGGGCTGTGGGGCCATTTGGTTGAGGCCAGCGGCGGCCAGGTCACTGCAGGGCAGATTAGGAGAGTGCTGAGGGCTGAAGAAGGGAGGAAACATCCAGACTGTGAATCTGGAGTCCCATATCCTTAAACCAACTTAAAAGGAGGCTCCAGTAGAGCAGCTGCAAGGCAGGATGGGGTAAGAAGCTATAAAAGAAGAAAATGATAGGTGATGACGATGATAGAAGTTCCTCTCACTGCCAGAGGAGCCCAGTGCCGAATGTGTGAGTACTCACCGAGAGAGCCCCCGCCCCACAAAGGACCAGTCAGGCTTACAAACCGATTTTCCAGAAAGTCTGCAAACACAGGGCTGGTTGAACCAAGCCTGGTGAGGATGGCACTTGCCTATATACCATCTTACGAAAGCGTCAAGAATTGATGGGAGCCCTGGCCAGTGTGGCTCAGTGGTTAGAGCGTAAGCCTGCACACCTAAGGGCTGCAGGTTCAACTCCCAGTCAAGGACGCATACCTGGGTTGCAGGTTCGATCCCCCACCCCTGTTGGGGTACATGCTGCAGGCAACCAATTGATGTGTCTTTCCCCCCCCTTCCACTCTCTCTAAAAAAAAAAATCAATGGAAGAAATATCCTCAGGTAAGGATTAACAACAAAAAGAATTGATGGGAAAGGTGTCAAAAAGATAACATGCCTCTTAAACAACAACAACAAAAGGCAGTTTGGCTATGATGAACCTGATCCTGAAGCAGCCCTCCTCAGGGCACTGATGGTATCCAGGCCACATGGTCATTCGTCCCCTCAGAACCTCGGAGTTCTTGGGAGTCCTTTCACGAGGGACCCCTGAACAGGAGCTGATCATAAACCATGACCAAACAGAAAACTCAGTGGGTTCAGTAGGTGAGGCTGATGGCATTTTCTGCCAGAACCACTCTCCATAAATTTTTTTTTAAACCATGGCTTAAGAAAAAGGAAGCAGATGCCTTTTGAGGCATAACTGTAAATCCCTGGTGAAACCTACATACTGTTTTACGAGATTGTAAGTCAGATATAAATTTTTCCTAAGGCAGCTGCCTTCTCCCATGAAACCAATTTTTATTTTTATTTACAAAGTGAAAACAAGACACAAATGGAATGGATTACTCTCCCCTCTCCTTCCCTGTATGCATTAGAGAGAGTGGCAAAAGTGGTTTTCGAAGAAAGTCAGAGGGCAAGAGATTTTTCTGGGAAGGGACAAGTTTCAGCAGCAGCCCTGAGGGAGCCCGACTCGGTGACCCTGGGGGAGCGCAGGGAAGGACAGGCTGTGTGACCTCGGCCAGCCACTGAATGGTGCTTGCCTTCACAGGGGATCATGACGCCTCCTGTCAGAGGGGTTCTGGAGGACCATGTGAGATGCTACAGTAAACACCCGAAGGAGGCCAATCAATGGAAACAATTATTACCATCTCTCATTGAATTTAGTTGAGTTAGCAAAAAAATATAAACAAAACCCCCTGGTCTATAAAGGATGTTCCTGGAGCACAGATATGGCATTAGGGCCAAGTGGGGAAGATAAAATAACTCATTTGAATTCCTGGATCTGGGTGGCCTCGGGTCACTGTAGAGTGCACAGCCATACAGCTTTGCCCTGCCCAGGTGCCCAGTTGAGGGGGTGCTGGGAGGCAGGCTGGAATTCAGCCCTGGCTGCACTCACAAAGTCGAGCTGTGGCATAAGCCTGGAGGAAGGGGAGCCTTTTGATTGTTCCGCTCAGGACAGCATTGTGCGAGGCAGCTGGAGACAAGTATGCCTGCTCCTGAACCTTCAGAGGTGCTGGGTGGTGGGGGGAGGGGGGCAGAGGGTAAGGGTGGAGGGAACAGCTGGGCCCCTTGCGAGCCCAATGAGATGAGCCACACACCCTCCCCGCAGTCCCGTGGTACAGCTGGCTGCTGGAGCCCTGGGGTGCAGCAGGGTGACATGGGCAGACCCCTCAGAGGACTAGTAGGCCACGTCATCTATGGCCACAGATGTAGAGGGTGTGAGGGTTCCTTGAAAATCCTGAGAAATAAAACAGGTGCTGTGTAGGACAAGCAGGAGTGGTCAGGAGCTGCAGTCCAGAGACAGCAAGAACCCAACTGCCCAGGCCACCGCTGCAGAGAGGAGAGGATGCTGGAGAGGCCAGAGCAAGGGTCCAGTAGGGAGGCTGCAGGGACCCAGCTCGCTAACCATCTCTACCTGGTGGAGGCCAGGCAGGTGATCACCTCTTGGAAGGGGTCAGGTTAAAGATTTTGGAGAGGCTCGTTCTTAACATCTGGGAGTCATATTTCACATTGATTTCCAGCGCCTACTCTTAGCTCCTTTCCCTCTTTGCCTCACAAAGTTACTTTCAAGCAGGTCAACTGTTGGGGAAAGACAAGGTCATGAGGGGCCTGAAGCCAGCACTCCACCTGCTGAGCTTCACACAGTAACTGGTGGCACAGCCGGGCTGAGACATCTGAGTCTCATTGCTGGCTTTTCCATTGCCACAGTCTTTACACTTCCAAGAGATGGGCCTTCTGG